CACCGCTCGTTCGGACTTGCCGCGCGCTTTAGAAACGCGAAAGCAATAGCGGGGCGTCTCAAGAGGCAGAGAGAGAAAAGCTTCCCCCCTCGGCAGGCGGGGGAAATGGGAGCCGGGCAGAGATGGGGACCGGCGGTACTCCTTCCCCGTGGCGGCCGCCGAAAATCATCGCCCGCTCGAGACCGTGCCGCAGCTCACCCATTTATTGAAGAAGGACACGAAGCCATATCCTTTAGATTTTCCCGTCGCCATGTCCTTAACCACGCGCGCGTCTCTAAAAAGCAGAAACGAGAGCCAGTTCAGCGCCTTCAAAAGGCGACCTTCCCAAAACGACAACTCGAATCACACCTACAGCCTATTTTCATGTCTCACCTCTACTAAGGTCAACTGTTTATTGCACCAGCGACACAGTCAAAGCAAAAGGCTTCTTTTCTACGCAGAACTTTACTAGTGCTGTGCCAGGTAGTAGCAAAATTAAACTTAATTGTGTAAACATGCAAATCAATAGCTTCTCTAACAAACGTATGTACTTTACGGCAGTTGGCTCCCGCTTCAAAACGCTTTTACAGACTGTTAAAGACACAAAGCATGGTCAAAGCAGCTATTCAAAAGAATCACTTCAGGCACGCAGCTGGCTAACATTAGCTGAATGGCTCTCTTTAACCATGCAATTCTTAAACTCGCTATTTGCCAACACATTCTACCTACTCATTCCAAATATTAAATAGAAAAAATGAAAAAAAGATAGGAATTAAAAGGCATACATCGCCTGTTAACTGAATTCTTTAATTTTCTCGGGTCAATTCGTTACCCCCTTTTTGGACTGTGGGCAGCTGTAAATTTTGAGAGATTGACATTTTCAGAAATTATTGAAGAAAATAAAACACCGACACATTCACGTCTTAAACTACATATTACACATCATTTAAACGGCATTTGTACAACAGCAATCATACAGGACTGATTGGAAACTACAAGATATAAAAAAGCGAGGGGAAAAAAAGAAAAAAAAAGATTTATAAAAGTAAATAAGAAAACTACAACGTTTGTCCACTGTGAACTGTAGCTTGTAGTTAGCCATGGCAATTCTGTCCATTCTTCAGAGACACTCTGCAAAATAACCAGAGCCCTATTATTTGAGATTGAGTTAAAAAGAGAACCCAGCTACCAGAGCTAAACCCCACTCGTGGAACGCCGTTCTACAGCGTTTTCTCAGGCAATTTGCGTACAAGTTAGCCGAGGGTCGAGATGCTCTCGCGTACGGGCCACCCTCTCCTCCCCTCCTTTGCCCCCACACAGACAGGCATTAAAAGAACAGAAACAACAACATAAAACCGGTCAGAAAAGTCATGCAGTGTCACTTACGGCTGTACAAAAATAAGAGGGTTCAGAGAAACTAGCGTTACCGTGTGCACAACATTTAGCATTCCGAGACTGGCGAGAAAAGTCACAACGAAGAGAAGGTTCGTTACGCTCGGGGGGGGGGGGGCGGTTTTGGTTGGGTTGGGGGGTGTTTTTTTTTTTTCAAATAAAAAAAAAAAAAACTTTTA